CATATTGGAGGCCCCCTGAACCAAGGAACCGTGGTGGTCCCTTTATGAATCCTAATAACAGGGGATGGACCAATTATGGTAATCAGAATTCATATAATCCATCTCATAATAGGAAGGGTAATCAAAATATACGAAATCCTACCCCCCAGTCTAATATGGGACCTGCTCCTCGCAACCCCCAATCCAATCATTTTTTTAGGGGGAAGTACAATGCGGAAAAGAAGCACGCGTACAGAGGAAAACGAGGAGGAAAAAGAGTTAATAGACCACAAAAAGAGGAAAATGTGATAGCCAAAAGGTATCTTTAACTTAAGTAAGGTAATTCTTATTAAAGATGAACTCAATTTACTAAATAAAGGTTTGAAATTTGCACCCAAGAAAAAACTAGATAAATTTAGCACATACGTGGACATCCACAAATTTACACGTAGTTTATCTATAAAAAGATATTTTTTAAATACGCCTTCTGTACACAATTCTTCCGGTAATGGGAATAATGATGTTAAACATTCCAATCTATGGAATGCTTCACTTTTTAATCCACCAGCACAGTCACATATTAATACTTTTAAAAGTATGGTTTTAAAAGATTTGGAGAGTATTAAAGTTAAGAACCTACGGAATCAACATAAGATTAACGATAGTATTAAATCTCTGCTGGCCAATAAGGATTTAGTGGTCAGACCTGCTGATAAGGGGGGAGGTGTGGTTATTATGGATAAGGCAGACTATATGACACAGGTATATCTATTGTTGGATGATAGGGAGACATATCAAGTGTTACCTAAGAACCCAACGTTTTTCTATAAAAAGGAATTGAAAGCTATTATCAAACGGGGTTTTGAAAATAATATAATAACTAAAAAAGAAAAAGCATATTTATGCCCATCAGCCCCGCGACTTCCTATAATGTACTGCCTTCCAAAAATACATAAAAATTCACGCTGCCCCCCTGGAAGACCCATCATTAGTGGCATAGGGTCATTGAATTCCCGTATAGGGGAATATGTTGATGTTTTTATTCAACCTTTGGTTAGATCCACACCCGCATATTTGCGGGACACGAAGCAAATACTAATGGATCTAAAAGACTTTAATATCAATGAGAAAACATATTTAGTTACTGCGGATGTTTCTGCTTTATATAGTAACATAAAGCACAAAGATGGAATGGAGGCGGTCCAGTTCTATCTAGACACTGTTTCGGATATTCCCAGACAGCAAAAGGAGTTCATTCTTGAGCTTCTGGACTTTGCTATGCAAAAAAATTTTTTTCTGGTTTAATCATACTTTTTACCTACAAGTCACTGGTGTTGCGATGGGGGCTAAGTTTGCCCCCAGCCTGGCCAACTTGTTTATGGCCAGGTGGGAGGAAGATTTAGTTTATTCACGTGACTGGCCTCCCCTTATATATTTTATTGACGCTACATTGATGACCTGTTCCTTTTATGGCAGGGGGATGAGTTTTCATTAAGGAATTTTTTTACTACTTTAAATAACAATGATCTTAATATTAAGTTATCATACGAATATGATTTTAAAGAAATCAACTTTTTAGATTTGGTTTTAATTAATAGTGGTACTAAGGTTGTGACCAGGACGTATTTTAAAAGTACGGACAGAAATGGGTATATACCCACTGATAGCTGTCATCATCCGACCTGGCTAAATAATATCCCTAGGGGACAATTCCTCAGGCTTAGGAGGAATTGTACTAATTTGCCTGATTATCATAACCAATCAGAGTTACTTAAAGCCAGATTCGTGGAGAAAGGATATGACTCTCATACTCTGGATCAAACTGCTAATGAGATTGGTTTATTGGATAGGGAGGATTTGCTTACTATGGAGAAAAGAGTAAAACCTGATAGATTCTGTCCTTTTATCACGGATTTCTCCATCCAATTCAGAGAAGTTACTAGAATTATTAAGAAAAATTGGGCTGTCCTCAGGAATTACCAATTATTAGATGTAGTTGCTGCATTCATTTTCTTTTTGGGGCTTTTTTTCTCTCTGTTTTCACCTGCTGATCTAGTCAGTTACAAACCTCCTGTATTAGAGTGCCCCCACTTTGGATGACACAGCAAAGAGACTCACAGCTGCATTGTCAGTCTTGGGGGAGGGGAGTGTTAGGTGTACTAGCAGATTTTGATACACTAACAAATAAAAGCCAAACTCCAGCTAACACTCTTTAATGCAGTTACATCAATAATGTTTTATCCTTTTGGAATAAAGGTTTTATATAAATAAAAGCTGATCATTGTAAGCACCCCTGACAGTGTTAAATGGTTTGTTTGAAAAACAACAGACTTATTGGCCAGATTGAAAGAATACAGAGGGTGGCAGGAAGGGGGTATAAGTGCCCTGTAGGCTTGTGGTTAATACTGATTTAATTGTCAAGAAACCGATATTTTCCCATTGCAGCATTTAGTGCATTACCTTAAAAAACATTTATTAAAGAAATAAAAGTAGGTATTCTACTCACAAACTACAATAATGTCAAAGGCACATCATAAAAGAACAGCTCTGTCCAATCCGCACTGCGTGTCTATCCGCAATAGGAACCTTGGACTTCCAACAGGCTAATGCGTTTCAAGTACTTGCCTCTTTCTCAGAGCCCTTATTGGCCAGATCACCAGATGAAAATAAAGGTAAACCCTAAAAAGAAAAACTAATGAAGCCATCACATCTATAAATTTGCATTTGGGTTTATGCCTAGCTCTAGATCCTTATTTTGGATAGTTATGTAGCACCTTCTAGTGTGCTACTAGCGTTAATGTAGGTAAATTTTATTATGGTAGGACTCATGGTAACTGTGTGAGTCTGTAATTAGGTTGGGTCACTGCAGGTCACACTGGGTGAGTCAACAGGTTGGGACTCTATCGCTTCCGTCTGGTTCTGGAAGACCATGAAAGTTTCCAGAAGCCAGTGGGTGGGAGGGGTGGAGACCTAAATCTGTATGTTTATGGAAGTTTGGCCAATCCCAGGCTTGGAGGCCCTGGTAGTGTGGTAAGGTTGACCCATGAATATGAGAGAGCCATGCTAGCAAGGGAGTCTGGTGGAAGATGTGGCTTGGGAGAGGTCCGCTAGGTCTAGGGGGGCTTGGCCGCAAGGCTGGGTTTGAGCTGGCTCAAGAAAATCCATTCAGCATCACGGTATGAGCAGGATCAAAACCTGGGAGCAGTGGGAGTAAGGTGGATAGAGTGAGTACATCAGTGCACCCAGGAATTTACAAGAAGAGAGACTGCCACATGTAGCAAGCTTTCAACAGACAGAACTGTGCTTAATCTTTTATCCTTGTCCTGAGAGATCTTCAGAGCAGCCAGGAGGGCTGGTAGTGTCTGTATGCTGTGGAGCTGGGAGCAGTTCTACAGGGGAGAGGAGACATCTCTGCATGTAGTTTTCAACAATATGTGCTAGCTTTCAGAGGGGCTGAGAGTCCATAGCCTGTAAGGAGCTACTACTTTGCTACTGATCCGTAATGACTGACAGCATTCAAGGAGAAGAACAGTCCAGGATCTTTTTCTGTAAATAGGAAGGAAGTTGTCCCTATGCATTGATTCAGTCAAGTTGGGCAGCACATAATCCCTGTAACTTCAAGTTATTTCTTCTACTAAAATAACAAAAAACACCAAGCTCAAGGAATGTTCACTGACTGTGGATACAAGCAGGGTTGTATTTACCACAAGGCAAACAAGGCACTTGCCCAGGGTGGCATTTTTCAGGGGGGCAGCACCTCCCCCCAGAAGAAGGGATAAAAGAAGGGATACACCCACCATGAGAATCAGGTGGGATCTGAGCGAGGCTGTGGGCTGCTTGATGGTGTATGTAAAGCCTGACTCTCGTTCCTGGGGATGTCTGAAGCTGTGAAGATGAGTGTCTTTCTCTCTATCGCCGGGGGGGGGTAGTGGAAAAGACTCACCCAGGTGGGGGGAAGGGGTGTTGGTCGGTGTCTGTGGGGGCAGACGATTTTTGTGTTGCCTATGGCAGCACAAAACCTAAATACACCACTGGATACAAGTGTGGAAAATGTGTGTTGCCTGGCTGTGCGAAGCTTAGAGGGACCCTAAAACATAGCGGCCCTCACAAGGGTAGCGCTACAGTTATAGTTACAAAAAACACAATCCATCCAGTTGTGCCTATGCATGTGTGGGTCTTTTTATACTCTAAAAATTCCCATAGTCCTGCATACTCTGCTTCCTGAGGAAGACATCTAAATGTTTTTCACGTGTTTCACTCTCAGCTAGTGCCATTGCCTGGAGGAGGGAGTTCCACATTTGTACTGCTCTAACAATAAAGACCTCTTTCCTCTATGTTGAAACCTCTTTTCTTCTAACTTAAATTGCGGCCATGTGTCCTCTTCAGGGACCTTAGCATAAACATAATTATCACAGTTACTAAAGTCACCTTTCATATATTTGTACATTGCACTCATATCCCCGAAGGGCCTGGTATGGATCGGGGGGGGGGGGGGGGGGGGGGGGCACACTGTTTTTCTTTTTTGTTTAGTTTTAACTGCCAGCAATTATTTTGTTTACTTACATTCAGCTGGCAACCCTGCTGACAGCTGATGATTCATTCGTTAAGGACGCAGAGGCCGGTTTGCTGGCCTCACCCTTGACAACTAGCTATTCATCGGTTAAGAAAAGAAAAAAAAACTCTGGAAACTGGTGCTTAGCAGCATTTAGGAGTGTTCAGCGGGTTTTTTTTTTCTACTGGCAAATTGCTCCCAAAAACGCAAACAAGAGGTTTTTTTTTTCTGCTCCTAAATGCTGAAGCTTAAAAAACGCACCTAGACTAAAATAGTAGTCATGGACAACACTATTTACTGGCAGGAAAAAAACCCTCAAAAGCTATTGCTTTTTTTTTTTAGTCCTCCCTGGTGGTATTCCCGAGTGTAGCTCGGGGTAAAGTTTCAGTACCACAAGCGGTAACCCCAAGCCCCAAGCTACACTCAGGCTTACCATGCGGCGCTGCTCCGGGATCTGTTCCTCACTTACCTTGTCCTGCGCTCCCGCGATGTCCCTCCTGCAGTGTCCCCGGCAATGTAATCCGGTGAATGCCGGCATCTGTCATCTGGGTTCTGTCCCCTGCGAGCGTCGGGATGTACAGGGGACGGAACGGCGGGAAATTTGAAAATGACAAAAAGTGACATTCACTCAATACACTAAAATCACATAGTATAACATTCCTGTATCAAACCATTTCGCATACATTTTGAACCGAGTGCTTTGTCCTGTGCCCTGCCTGCATTTGTACCATTCTTTCTGCCTGGAAATTGAGAAACGTCCATGGCGTCCAAAAAATGTCCCTTTAGGTCAAAACCGGTTTTAGACCAGCTAGAGAAACAGCGATAGTAAATCAGAACCACTTGCAGAATTGAGTGATGATTCGTGGGGAAATTCGTCATCAGACACTGAAAACGATTTTGCGACTTTGCTCAGTGATGTGCAAACTTGGCGCTCTATTTCAAATTTCAGTATTTTTGGGTTGATTATATTATTGAATTCAATTTATTATATTATTTTTTATGATTATTTATTAAATTATCATTTATGATTTCGCATTTCAAATTTTATCCTACCCGGGATGTTTACTAGACTCTTGTTCGGACAGATTTCAGTGAGTTATTCCTAAAAATTACAGGCCTACAATAAAAAAAATTAATATTTCCATGCAAAAAAATGTACCACTTTGAGCACAGAAATATGGACATAATCAGACCGCTAGGGAGGCTACCTCTCACTCACTCTCCGCTGATGCCACCAATGTGGAAGGAAGTTTCTACATCCTTACCGCTCTAACAGTAAAGAGCCCCTCATGCAGTCTAAGAATTAACAGTTTCTCATTTAACTTCACGGTGTGGCCACATGTCTTCTTTAGAGGCCTAAGATTAAAAAGTTTCCTTCCAATTTTAGAGTTACCTTTCAAGGATTTTATCATACCCGGGATGTTTACTAGACTCTTTTTCGGACAGATTTCAGTTATTCCTAAAAATTACAGGCCTACAATAAAAAAAATACATATTTCCATGCAAAAAAATGTACCGCTTTGAGCACAGAAATATGGACATAATCAGACCACTAGGGAGGTTAAGTAGTGTGCATGGAGCCTCAGGAAGGGAGCTCTTGGGCATAAAAAAACACTATACGCATGTAAACCCGCTTAGGTGCTAGGCAAGTTTAGTGCTTGAGTGTTTATTCATTTCAATGGCCAGAATAAATTAAAACACATTTTAAAACATGTGTTGCATTTCAAATAAACCAGTGTGCATGAACCTTTATGCTGCAGCACAATGAATGCATGGGACTCTGCAGATCTTTTTATTACAATATTTGAAAAAAAAAAAGGCTGCAAAACAAACCAAATAGGAAAAAAAAAATCAAATTAGTATTTCTCTCTCTGTTGCTGTCTTTTTAATATACTATAATTACCATATGGTAATGGGAACTTACGGTTCTGTACACTGTGATTTTTAATTGTCATACTGCTGGGTGTTTATGATATTTGTATTTTGTTGTATTAGAAAATTAATTCACAGCAAACAAAATATTCAAAACACAAAGAGATTCAGTGTCCTGGAATGACATTACTGATTAATTACTGAAATTGACAGTCTGTTAGATTTTTGCCTATTCTTAAAGAATTCTAGGTACGGATATTTCTGCAACATTATGATGGTCCATGAATATAAACCTTTTCTCATAAATGAGCATACCCAAATCATATTGAAAACAATCCCTTGAAAAAAAGGCCAGGAAGTGACGAAAAGCGATGACATCTGACGCACCCACGCTGAACCGGGAGTGCGATTGCGGCCATTTTGAAAGTGGGAACATGTGGCTGTTTCCATGCTAATACAAACATTTGGGCTGTCTCTGTCATTGGGAGCTGTTATCTCCAGATTTTAATGTAAGTTGCTAAATAAATGTTATAAAATCTTTACATCATCATCTCTAAATCCCTGATTTATTCCATGAGGAGAAACTACAGGAATAATTTGGACCCTGGAGAATGTTTTCATCCTTTATGTGAGAAATGCCCTTTTGTTACTTATATAGGGTAATTATTCACTTTTACACCAGTTGGAGTGGAACACTTTATTTAATCTATATCTTTGCTTGCACAAATAAGTAAGGAACGTTTTGGATAGAGTTTGGTTTGGTAGTTGGAACACTTTTTGTTATTAAGTGTGGTTTCACACCAGGGGCAGACTGACCATTTGGAAACTCAGGCACTGCCCGAGGGCCCGGGGTCAGTAGGGGGCCCCATGAGATGCCCCTGGTACCTTTTTCATAGGCTTTTTTGAGTTTGGGCAAGTACACAGGGGCCCCATGATCCCCTATTGCCCAGGGGCCCGATGAGTTGTCAGTCTGCCCCTGTTTCACACTAGATTGGAGTGAATCACTGTTTATTGTTTGCAGTTGGAGTGTTCACAATTGGAGTATATTCACAATTTATTTTATACTGATGATATTATATAATTTTTATTTATACGGAATATTTTTTTGTATATAGAGTGTGTATATATATATATATATATATATTTTTTTTTTTTTTTTTTTTTTTCTTCCTCTCTTTCCTCTTCCCTTCACGTGTGTTTTGCACATGTCCTGCAGTTTTTTGCATGATTCACGATTAGTGGCACGTAAATTATTTATAAAGGGTAATACACTATTTTGAGTATATTTTTTTGAGGTACAAGAAAATCTGGATACATCACGGTGACTAAAGGAAAGAAAAGACATTTATTTTGGAGGAAGAAAAGACTTTATTATATGGAGATTGATTTTTAATATAATTTTCTTTGGGAATTTATTGTGATTGAGGACATTTGGAACACTTATGATTTGGGTACAGGGGCGGACTGACCATTGGGGAACTCTGGCACTGCCCGAGGTCAGTAGGGGGCCCCATGAGATGTCCCTGGAACCGTTCATAGGCTTTTTTGGGTGTGGTTTGAGTGTGGGTAAGGACACGGGCCCCATGATCCTCTATTGCTCGGGGGCCCCATGAGTTGTCAGTCCGCCCCTGTTTGGGTATGTTCATTTATGAGAAAAGGTTTTTATTCATGTTAGCTTTCAAGGGTGAAAGTGTTTGACTTTTCTTTTAGGGTGTAGTAATTATTGGTATAGGGAGTTTTGGTGCTGATATATTTATTTATTATGATGGTCCAGCTTGTACCAAAGTATGTACCTGTATGTACTATGTGTGTTAGATCCCCATGGAAGCTGGAAATCACTGTAGTAGGCACCACTACTCCAATGGTATCCACTAGCTTCTCAGTCCTGCTGCTTACTGAACACAAGAGGTTGTCCACTCTGCACAAGTGCCATTCTTAAAATGCTTTGCATTCTTTTAATAAATGCAAAGCATTCTCTGATTGGATGAGGTGGAGGGTGACGGGACCACCCCACCTCTTCACCTCATTCTGTGGGAAATGTGAGTGTGTAATTTTAATAAAACAAATTGTGGTTTTGAATATACTACACTATGGTGACTTCCATGTTGCTTTGAGTTCACCCTACAGAGTAAATGCAGTGATACAGTGAATCTTTACAAATACCTCTATTAAGCAGTGGAAGCGAGGGGAGATCCAGGACCAGTGGGAGGGCTCCACTGAACTCCGAAAGGAGGGGAGATGAGCATTTTGACTTCTTATAACCTATAGTCCAATGTATAAAGGTAACCTAGCCACTTGCCCTCCAGATGATTTACCCTTCTTCCTGACCAGGCCATTTTTTGTGATACGGCAGCTGTGTTACTTTAACTGACATTTGCGCGGTCATGCAACACTGCACCCAAATGAAATGTATTTCTTTTTTTTCTCTCACAAATGAAGCTTTATTTCTGGGGTATTTGATTGGCTATATGTTATTTTTTGCACTATAAACAAAAAAAGTGGACAATTTTGAAAAATAAACAATATTTTTGACTTTTTGCTATTACCACTTGCCCTGTTGAGGATTTACCCCCCCCCCCCCCCCTTTCTAACCAGGCCATTTTTTGCATTACGGAGCTGCATTACTTTAACTGACCATTGCGTGGTCATGCAGCGCTTCATTAACAGCGCAAATGAAATTTACTTCCTTTTTTTTCCCCACAAATTGAGCTTTCTTTTGCTGGTATTTTCTTGCTGTGCGTTTTTTTTTTTTTTTCCGCTACACAAAAAAAAAGGATTTGAGAAAAAAAAACAATATTTTTGACTTTTTGCTATTAAACATGTTCAGTAAAAAATAAAATTTCATCATAAATTTAGGCCAAAATGTATTCTGCTACGTGTAAATTAATTGGTTTACATGAAAGTTATAGTGTCTACAAATGGCGGAATATATACTGGATTTTTTTTTTTTTTAATACTAGTAATGGCGGTGATCAGTGACTTATAGTGGGATTGCGGTGGGCAGTCTGACACTGTGGGGAACTGTCACTGACATCCCCAGTAACACCAATACAGTGATCAGTGCTAATGAAAAGCACTGCCACTGTACTAATGAAACTGGGCAGGAAGGGGTTAAGATTTGGGGCGATCAAAAGGGTTAGCTGTGTGCTGTTTGGAAATGACTGGAAAGCTGGCACCTCTGGTATTTTAAAGAAAGATAAGTGCATCTCAGGGAATCTTTTCTTAGCCTCAGTCAGAATATGCTTTAGCTAAATAAACCCAATGCAAAGAGGTTTCTTTCAAAGGAATGGAAATTCTTTAGTTAGCATAGTAAATGCCCACTTGGTAAGCAACACAAAGTTTTAGTCACTTTAATCATTTAATTATATGCAAGGAAAATCTGTGTTTTTTTTTTAAAGCTGAACTCCAGGAATTTAGCCACTTTGTAAAATATGCTAACAGAGTTACTGAGCACCAGGAGTACAGCTACCACTATACTCCCGGTGCTCTGACAGCAGAGATGCTGCTTGCTCACACAGCAGCAGCTCTGTTCACCCCCCTCCCCTCCATTGTCCATTCACAGAAGACTTTGTATTTTCTCTAATTGGGCATGAGGAAGGCATGGGTAGTCAGAGTGGTTGATTACAAATATGCAACTGCAGGACCTGAGACCTGCCAGGAGTATATCAACAACGTCACAGAAAAGTACTGCCAATAACTGACAACTGTCACAGAGGATCTGTGATGATCAGTGCCCTGCAGTGCCGCCTGCAGTGCCGCCCAGCAGTGCCACCCACCCGTACCCATCTGTGCCTCCTACCAGCGCTCATTAGT